GTAAAATGTTCAATCTAAAAAAAAAAAAGAAAAAAAGAAATAAAAATATGTATATATATATATATATATATATATAATATATATAATATATATATATATATATATATATATATATATATATATATATATATATATATATATAATATATATATATATATATATATATATATATATATATATATACTATATATATATATATATATATATATATATATATATATATAATATAATATATATATATATATATATATATATATATATATATATATATATATATATATATATATATATATATATATATATATATATATATATATATATATATATATATATATATATATATATATATATATATATATATATATATATATATATATATATATATATATATATATATATATATATATATATATATATATATATATATATATATATATATATATATATATATATATATATATATATATTATATATATATATATATATTATATAATATTAATATATTATATATATATATATATATATATATATATATATATTATATATATATATATATATAAACACATTTTACGAGTTGTAGAATGACAAAAAAAACAAGCAAAAATGTGTATACAAATAAACTTCCTGTGTATCTGTTGTCACCTGAATATCATATTAAGCTTATTGATTAAGATAAAAAGTAATCAAATAAAGTATAGTTATCTAAGATATTGCAATGTGATATTTTAGACGTTGATAAGTGTTGTATGTTTATTCTATAATCTATCTACGATTATTCATCACACTAATCTTAATTATTGTATTTAAACATAGTCTAATAAATATTGAGAAGAAAGAAAAAAGGAAGAAAATAAAATTAATTGAAAAAAATCTTACCATATGAACAACATTCTCACCAACTCGATTTTTTATATACATATAACCGACTGCCATATCAAGGACCTTGTTAGTCTTTTGAGCACAGTCATACCATCTGTAAAGCAAGATTATACAAGTTAGCCCCTTAAACGTAACGTTTTCTATGAACCAGAATAGAAAATGTAATTTTTTTATGAGGGACTACGATATTATGAGTACTTGATATTATTCATTTTGTTTATTACTCGTGTTGTTGAGAATGGGAGAATAATTTTGTTAATGATATTAGTGGTAATTTTATCTTTCGTTCCTCCACTCTTTTATTTATACTTACGCTCTTCCACTGCTACGGCCAAAGGACCTGAAATTTTAAAAATGTACGTATGTATACAGATAGATCTAACGTTAGATATTCAGGTTTTATTTATAATCATATTTAGCCCATTTATTTTTTCTCTTTCTTTCATCCTTCCCCCTCCTTCGCTTTCACTTTCATTCTCCCTCTTTCTCTCTGCCTCCCTTCCCACCTAACTTCCTCCTTTTCCCTCCATATGCCTTCCCTACTTACTCCCTGTCCCTTCCTTCCTCCCTCCCTTTCTCCCCCTCTTACGCCTCCTCCTTCTCCTTCCCTTTCTCCCGCTATTCCTCCCATTCCAACCTCTCGTTTCCTTTTCCTTCCCTCCTCTCTCCCCCTCCTACCCCCTTTCCCTCTCCTTCCGACCCTCCTCCCTTTCCCCTCCTTCTCCCTTCCCCCTTCTTCCCTCCTCCCTCCACCCACCTTCCCCTTCTCCCTCCCCCTCCCCCTTCCACCTTCCCTTCCCTCCCTTCCCCCTTCCCTTCCTTCTTCCCTTCCTCTCCTCCTCCATCTCTCCCCCCACCCCTTCCACCCCCTCTTTCCATCCTTACTTCACATCCTTCTGCGAGTCGAGTTTCCGGAGGTCATCCCTGGAGCCCACAGAGACCTCATCTGCCATGCCTTGAACCAGCTGCATCAGTAAGTAGTTCGCTGAGAAAGAAAATTAAATCAAACTTAATTTTCATTTTTTCTTGTCTATATATGATTGTCTAGCTGTACGTCTCTTTGCCTATATGACTGTCTAGCTTCATGTCTCTTTGCCTATATGACTGTCTAGCTGTATGTCTCTTTGCCTATATGACTGTCTAGCTGTATGTCTCTTTGCCTATATGACTGTCTAGCTGTATGTCTCTTTGCCTATATGACTGTCTCTGTATGTCTCTATGCCTATATGACTGTCTAGCTGTATGTCTCTTTGCCTATATGACTGTCTAGCTGTATGTCTCTTTGCCTGTATGACTGTCTAGCTGTATGTCTCTATGCTATATGACTGTCTAGCTGTATGTCTCTTTGCCTATATGACTGTCTAGCTGTATGTCTCTTTGCCTGTATGACTGTCTAGCTGTATGTCTCTATGCCTATATGACTGTCTAGCTGTATGTCTCTTTGCCTATATGACTGTCTAGCTGTATGTCTCTTTGCCTGACTGTCTAGCTGTATGTCTCTTTGCCTGTATGACTGTCTAGCTGTATGTCTCTTATCTTTGCCTATATGACTGTAGCTGTATGCCTGTATGTCTCTCTTTGCCTATATGACTGTCTAGCTTATATGTCTCTTTGCCTTTGTATATGACTGTCTAGCTGTATGTCTCTTTGCCTATATGACTGTCTAGCTGTATGTCTCTTTGCCTATATGATAGCTGTGCTATGACTGTATATGTCTCTTGTATGATGATGTGCTAATATGTATGTCTCTTGCCTATATGACTGTCTAGCTGTATGTCTCTATGCCTATATGACTGTCTAGCTGTATGTCTCTTTGCCTATATGATATGATGTCTGTTTGCCTATATGACTGTCTATATGTCTCTTTGCCTATATGACTGTCTAGCTTTATGTCTCTATGCCTATATGACTGTCTAGCTTTATGTCTCTTTGCCTATATGACTGTCTAGCTGTATGTCCAGATCATATATATGACTGTATAGCTGTATGTCTTTATTATTACTTATTGGTTAATGAATGTATTTAATCTTATATCCGTGTCTATGACAGCTTGTTTTTGTCTTGCTGTCTATGTATGTAGGTAGGTATGTATGTGCATATATATGTATGTTTATATGCATGTACATGTGTATGTGTGTATGTATGTCTCATGCGTATATGTACGCATTTATGTATCTATATATGTATGCATGTATATATGTATAATGCATTTACATATGTATAATGCATTTACATATGTTTTTATGTATGCAAATATGCATGCATGTATGTATCTATTATCCATTCATTAATTTATTTCACTATATGTTTATCTAACTGTTTGTCTCTCTCTCCCTCTCTCTCTCTGTCTCTCACCCTCTCTCACTCTCTCTCTCTCTCTCTCTCTCTCTCTCTCTCTCTCTCTCTCTTCTCTCTCTCTCTCTCTCTCTCTCTCTCTCTCTCTCTCTCTCTCTCTCACTCTCCATCATCCCCCCCTCTGTCTCCTCCCATTATTCCCATTTCTTATCTAGAAAATTATGAATAAAAAATGGTAAAATAGATAAATAAATAAATAATAGGCTCTCTCTCATCAACAGAACACGCTCACCCAGGACCCTCTTCGGCGTCGCCTTCAGAAGCCTCATCAGCGCCGTCAGGTAGTTCGGAACCTCGACCACGAGTCTCTCTTCGCCGGTGACCTCGACTTCGGCTTCGCGAAACGTCTCTCGGAGGAATCGGAGCCAGTCGAACTATTTTGAGGGAAGTTGTTTTTGTTCTTATTCTTACTTTGATTTTGATTTTGATTTTATTCTGATTCTGATTTTTTATCTTTATTATGATTTTGATCTAGATTTTTTTATCTATATTGTGATTTTGATCTGGATTTTTTTATCTTTATTATGATTTTGATTCAGATTTTAAATTTTATTATGATTTTTTATTATGATTATTCTAATCTATTTGGATTTTAGTTTGGATTCGAATCTGAATTTGATTTAATTTCATTTCATTTTGATTTGAGACTATTTACGTTATACGACCTGTGTGTGTGTGTGTGTGTGTGTGTGTGTGTGTGTGTGTGTGTGTGTGTGTGTGTGTGTGTGTGTGTGTGTGTGTGTGTGTGTGTGTGTGTGTGTGTGTGTGTGTGTGTGTGTGTGTGTGTGTGTGTGTGTGTGTGTGTTTGTGTGTGTGTGTGTGTGTGTGTGTATATACAATATGTATAAGTATATATATATATATATATATATATATAATATATATATATATATTCATATATATATACATATCTGGAACAAGAACAAACAACATAATAACAAATAGATAATATAAAATAACAACAAAACCAATACCTTAAACCCCGGAGCCGCCTGGTCGCACTTCGCCTGCAGGTCAGCGATGGTCGTCGGGTTGTAGGTCATCCACGGGTCACCCAGGTTCGACTCCGGGACCGTGATCTTTAAGGCGAGGGGATATAAGGGTCATATTTCGGTTTGGTCCTGCGTTGGGGCGTGTCTTGTTGATTTGGTGTTGTTTTGGGTTGTCTTTTTTAGCTTATTTCTATTTCTTTTTGTCTGTGTGTCCTGTCTCTGTCGCTATCTGTCTGTCCTCTGTCTCTCTGTCTGTCTCTCTGTCTGTCTGTCTGTTCTCTCTCTCTCTCTCTCTCTCTCTCTCTCTCTCTCTCTCTCTCTCTCTCTCTCTCTCTCTCTCTCTCTCTCTCTCTCTCTTCTCTCTCTCTCTCTCTCTCCTCTCTCTCTTCTCTCTCTCTCTCTCTCTTCCCCCAGCCACACCTCCATCCTCTCCCTCTGTTACACAAGCTCTTAATGTGTAGACACTTGCACCCTTTCATTCACAAGATCAATTATCTTTCATTCATGCAATCGAGGCTAATCTATAGACGGATTTACCTACTCACGCACTAGCCTCTGTACTTGTTGGATAATCGATTTTTAAAACAGTATTAGGATACCGTTTTTTGTGGGGGGTTTTACCTCTGTTGTTGTGTTTTTTACCTTTCTTGGTGTTTGTTGTTGTTTTTTTGTATTGTTTTGTTTTCCCTAACATTTTTATTTTATTTATTTATTCAATCCCTTCCCTCACCCTATTCGCCTCCCTATCCCTTCAATCACTCCTCTCCCGTCCCTTCATTCGCCTCCCTCTACTTCTCCTCCCTTTTCCTAACCCCACACTCTCCTCTCCTTACCCACTCCCCTCCCCATCCCTCCATTCCGCTTCCCCCCTTAACCAGTTTCTCCTCTCCCTCTCCACTCCCACCCTTTCTCCCACCCACCCTTTCTCCCCTTCCTCCCATTCCACATCCCCTTCCCTCCTCCTTCCCTCCTCCCTTTCCTCCCCACCCTCCCTCCATTTCTTCCCCTCCTACCCTTCTCCCTCTCCTTTCCATCCTCCCTCCCTTTCTCCCTCTCCTTTCCCCCTCCCCCTTCCACCTTCCCCTCCCTCACCCCTCTCCCTCCCCATCCCTCCATTCTGCTCCCCTCCCCATTCCCTTACACCCTTCCCTTACCCCACACTCTCCCCCCCTCCCTACCCCACACTCTCCTCTCCCTCACCCCACCCCTACCTCCCTTACCCCCACTCCCCTCTCCCTCACCCTAACTCCTCCCTCCCCTTACCCCACACTTCCTCTCCCTCACCCCACTCCCTCCTCCCCTTACCCACACCCCCCTCCGTCCCTTACCCCACACTCTCCCTCTCCTCACCCTACTCCTCCCCTCACACCCACTCCCCTCGCCTGCCGACTTACCCCATCACTCTCCTCTCCCCTCTCTCCCCACTCCCTCCCTTAGCCCACACTCCGCATCTCCCTCACCCACACCCCCCTGCCCTACCACTCCACTCCCCTCCCTCCCCATTACCCCACACTCTCCCACAAGCACTCTCTCCCTCCCCCACGCTTCCTCACCCTCTCACCCACTCCCCTCCCTCCCTGACCTCCCCAACCTTACTCGCATCCCACTCCCCTCTCCCGCTTACCCAACACTCTCCCCTCCCTCCCCTTACCCACTCTCTCTCCCTCCCTCCCCCTACCCCACACTCCTCCCTCCCTCCCTTCTCCCTCACCCCACTCGCCTTACCTCTGCCCCTCCCCTCCCTTCCCCTCCCCACCTCCCTCCCCTTCCCCAACACTCACCCCTCCCTCCCCTCTCCCTCCACCCCCACCAACCTTCGCCAACTCGACGGGAAATCCCACTCCCCCCCTCCCCTTACCAAACCACACTCCCCTCCCTCCCCTTACCTCCACTCCCCTCCCCCTCCACCCCCACCAACCTTCGCAACTCGACGGAGAACTCCCACATGGCGAGGCTGTCTCCACCAGCGTCGCCAGCTCTCGCCCCAACTCCACCCAAGCTCCCCATTCCCTCCCCTACCCCCACACTCTCCCCTGCCTCCCCTTACCCCACACTTCCCTCTCCCTCACCCACTCCCTCCCCTCCCTCCTTCACCCCACTCCCCTCCCTCCCTTACCCACACTCCCTCTCCTCTCCCTCACCCCCACTCCCCTCCCTCCCTCCCTCCCTCCCCACCCCCCACCACCTTCGCCAACTCGACGGAGAACTCCCACATGGCGAGGCTGTCCTCCACCAGCGTCGCCAGCGCCTGCTCCGTGTTTTCGCCCCAACTCCACCAGCATTCCCCTCTCCCTCCCTTACCCACACTCTCCCCTCCCTCCCCTTACCCCACACTTCCCCTCCCCCCTTCCCCCTTCCCCCTTACACTCTCCCTCCCTCCCCTTACCCCCACACTCCCTCTCCCTCACCCCACTCCCTCCCCTCCCTCCCTCACCCACTCCCTCCCTCCTTACCCTACACTCCCACACACCCCTCTCCCCCCCCCACTCCCCTCCTCCCCTTACCCCACATCCCCTCTCCCTCACCCCACTCCCCCCCTCCCCTCCCCTCCCCCTTCCCCCACCAACCTTCGCCAACTCGACGGAGAACTCCCACATGGCGAGGCTGTCCTCCACCAGCGTCGCCAGCGCCTGCTCCGTGTCTCGCCCCAACTCACCAGCATTCCCCTCTCCCTCCCCTTACCCCACACTCTCCCCTCCCTCCCCTTACCCACACTCCCCTCTCCCTCACCCCACTCCCCTCCCTCCCTTACCCCACACTCCCCCCTCCCTCCCCTCTCCCTCCACCCCACCAACCTTCGCCAACTCGACGGAGAACTCCCACATGGCGAGGCTGTCCTCCACCAGCGTCGCCAGCGCCCGCTCCGTGTCTCGCCCCAACTCCACCAGCATTCCCCCTCCCTCCCCTTACCCCACACTCTCCCTCCCTCTCCCTTACCCCACACTTCCCTCTCCCTCACCCCACTCCCCTCCCTCCCTTACTCCCCACTCCCCTTCCCTCTCCCTCTCCCCCCTCCCTCCCCTCTCCCTCCACCCCCACCAACCTTCGCCAACTCGACGGAGAACTCCCACATGGCGAGGCTGTCCTCCACCAGCGTCGCCAGCGCCTGCTCCGTGTCTCGCCCCAACTCCACCAGCATTCCCCTCCTCCTTACCCACACTCTCCCTCCCTCCCCTTACCCCACACTCCCCTCTCCCTCACCTCCACTTCCCCCCCTCTCCCTCCACCCTCCCACCCCACCCCAACCTTCGCCAACTCGACGGAGAACTCCCACATGGCGGGCTGTCCTCCACCAGCGTCGCAGCGCCTGCTCCGTGTCTCGCCCCAACTCCACCAGCATCTCCCTCCCCCTCCCCACACTCTCCCCTCCTCCCCTTACCCCACACTCCCTCTCCCTCACCCCACTCCTCCCCTCCCTCCCTCACCCCACTCCCCTCCCTCCCCTTACCCTCCCACTCCCCCCCTCACCCCACTCCCTCCCCTTCCCCCACACTCCCTCTCCCTTACCCCCACTCCCCTCCCCTCCCCTCCCTCCCCTCTCCCCACCCCACCAACCTTCGCCAACTCGACGGAGAAACTCCCACATGGCGAGGCTGTCTCCACCAGCGTCGCCAGCGCCTGCTCCGTGTCTCGCCCCAACTCCACCCATTCCCCTCTCCCTCCCCTTACCCCACACTCTCCCCTTCCCCTTACCCACACTCCCCTCTCCCCTCACCCCACTCCCCTCCCCTCCCTCCTCACCCCACTCCCCTCCCATCCCCATTCCACTCTCCCTCCCCTCCCTCACCCCACTCCCCCCCTTACCCCACACTCCCTCTCCCTTACCCCACACTCCCTCCCCTCCCCTCCTCCCCTCTCCCCACCCCCACAACCTTCGCCAACTCGACGGAGAACTCCCACATGGCGAGGCTGTCCTCCACCAGCGTCGCCAGCGCCTGCTCCGTGTCTCGCCCCAACTCCACCAGCATCTGAGCGCCGGACGTGTGCATGTACGTGAGATACTTGTCCTTGTTCGTGGTGGAGTTCTCCTCCAGGAGGGATTCTCGCCGCATCTGGAGGAATCCTTGGCTCAGCTGCGAGGCGGAGGAGGGAACGGAGGAGAATTGTGAATAAAGAAAGAAAACGAAAGAGGAAGAAAAAAAACGAAAAAAAAGAAGAAAAAGAAGATAAAAATTGCTGAAAAAGGGATTAATGGTGAAAATCCATAAAGGGATTGTGTGGATAGGTTGGTGGGTAGGGTGGATAGGTGGATAGATAGATAGATGGGTAGGTAGGGAGATAGTAGGGGTGTCATTTGTTTTGGGGGGAGGGAAGGGGGGAAGAGTGATGTAATTTAGGCAAAAATAATGAGTGTGTGTGTGTGTGTGTGTGTGTGTGTGTGTGTTGTGTGTGTGTGTGTGTGTGTGTGTGTGTTTCAAGCGTATGTGTGTGCTTTCATATTCAGCTCTTCATCTATCCCTCTGTGTGTGTACGTACACTGATGTGTATGTGTGTCTACATGTCTACATAGAGCAGAAAACAGTACAAGAAGAAAAGGAAATATTGACTTCAAACGATATACCAAAACAATAATAATAATAAATAATAATAATAATAATAATAATAATAATAATAATAATAATAATAATATAATAATAATAATAATATAATAATAATAATAATAATAATAATAATAATATAATAATAATAATAATAATAATAATAATAATATAATAATAATAATAATAATAATAATAAAATAATCATCAAATGTTCCACTCACGAGAATAACGTTCGAAGACGTATTAAAGCTGTCCATTTCTACCGTGAGGCTAACGACGGCCATCCCGCCGTACAGACCCCTCATCCGGGCCATCGACGTCACGAAGTCGAAGTCGTCGCCAGTCCAGTTCGACTCGAGCATCGGGAGACCGCCCTCGCTCTTCAGCAGGTCAAGCAGAGGTCGCAAGCTGACCTCTCTCCACGCGGCTGTTGGGAGGGATTGTTGGTCAGGATTTGGTGGTTCCTTGGTCGGATTGAGATAAATTCGTAAGGATGTATTGGTACCTCTGCCAAGGTGTTTACAAATTGGTAGCGTTGGTTAGTTTGTTGGTTAGTTGGTTAGCAGGATAAGTTAGAAGTTGTGTACAATTGTTTAACGAATTTTTTACCAGAGGTGTGTCTTAGCCCAACTTAGATGCCATTCGATTTTGGTGGTGATCCGGGTCGTGATACGAATCCAGGATTTTTTAAAGGATTCATTACATACGAACAAGGGAACATGGGACGTCACCATGTACTTGAGAAGGAGGTGATTTTGATGTAATTATTCAAGTGTGAATATTTCATTGCATCTGTGATCTTATTGCCTTGGCGGAGGTATGCGCTCTCGGAGTGTTTCTAGTTCTTTTTTGGTTCTTTTATTGGTCTATTCTTAGTTTCTTGTTCATACACTGGCACGCGAAAATTATCGTAAATATATGATATAATGTCATATGTATTTGCATGGGTAACGGAATGTAGGGATGTATTTTTTTTTATACATTTGCAATACTGTGTTTGCACTTGTGGAAGTACTTACTGTTGTTGACACAAGCTTTGAAAACCTTTTTCGCAGCTCTCACGGGGAAAATCTCATTTTCTGTATAATCTTCCTCCAAAAGTCCTGAAAAAAAAATCAAATTAGTTAAAGAGGGAATCATGAAAAGAAATGCCAATACCTGTGAGCAAAATAACACAAATATCAGTCTCCCCCTCACGATTTCCCCGTTTTCTATGAACATCTAAAATTATCGAGAGGGTAAACTCAACTAAACTTTACTTTACCACCTTTGATATCATAGACCATCTTGCTCATCAACTAAACTACATCACCTTTGATATCATAGACCGTCCGTTCTTCCACGGTGTCGAAGAGCCCCCAGCGATATTCCATGGAGGGTATGGGATGTTCTCGGAACCATCCTCCGCAGGCAAACTTTACGAAATCTTCACAGGGATCAGCTGATTCGTCCAAACCGTCGATGATATCACCAGCTGTTGTTATTTTTTTACGAAAAGGGAAAATTAGTCTTCCAAACACGAGTATTTAAAAGGGAGTTTGTGTTATCGGAATGTGTGTTTTATTGTGGTGTGTGTGTGTGTGTGTGTGTGTGTGTGTGTGGTGTGTGTGTGTGTGTGTGTGTGTGTGTGTGTGTGGTGTGTGTACGTGTAGTGTGCGTGCGTGCGTGTGCGTGTGTGTGTGTGTGTGTGCGTGTTGTGTGGTTGCAGAATAGCATACTCTCTACACAAAAAATCTTGAATGAAGTGTCTTTTGCAATATGCAATATACCCAATATCCTGACGCAGACATACCTGCCCTCACGCACTCCCTGCTGTTGCAACTTTCGGCCTGGGAGAACTGGGGGATTTGAAGCCACCGGGGCGCACCTGAGGTCAAGGTCAAGGTCAAGAGGGATCGTTGAGGGCGTGCTGCAGGGAGACCACGCCCACGTTTTAGAGGAGGTGTGACTTCCGTGCAGGAGATAAAGTGAGAAAGGAGAAGAAGAGGAAAAAGGAAAAGGAAAAGAAAAGAAAGAAGGAAAAAAGGAAGAAGAAAAATAAGATGAAGAAAAAGGGAAAAAATAATAATGTTAATAATAAGACAAGAAAAGAAAAACGAAAATGAAAAAAAAGAAGAAAAAAAAATAAGGAAGAAAATAAGTGGATTTTTGTTACTATCATCATTATAAATGTTTTTAAGGTAATACACAGCAGATATTTAGATGGATCTATATCATACAGGCATTTAGAGTTAGATAATCTATGGGGAAAGTTGGTGCAATATTTTTTGTGATTAATACATTTATTAAAGTAAGAGACACCCTTTTCTTTTCGTTAATATAATCATGCGTTGGCAACCTTTACCCCTTTTTATTGCTAATCGGTGATTATTTCTTGCTCATCTCTCTCTCTCTCTCTCTCTATCTCGCATTCTAAGGCAGTTTGTCATATCTCGTATTTCTGTTGATGTCTGACGATGACAGACTGACTCTGACACTGGCTATGACATTATTTCTTATTAACTCTGACAGACTCTGACATTGATTCTTATTGACTCTGACACACTTTACACTGAAATGACTGGCAGCACTTTGACACTGACAATGACTCTCTCATCGGTTATTACACTTTGGACACTGACAATGACTTTGACACTGGACAATGATTGGCACACTTTGACACTACAATGATCTGACAGCTTTCTGGACAAACACTGATCACTGACAATGACTCTGACATGACAATGACTCTGGGTTTGACTGACAGCACACTTTGACACTGACAATGACTCTGGCACACTTTGACACTGACAATGACTCTGGCACACTTTGACACTGACAATGACTCTGGCACACTTTGACACTGACAATGACTCTGGCACACTTTGACACTGACACAATGACTCTGACACTGACAATGACTCTGCACACTCTGACACTGACAAATGACTCTGGCACACTTTGACACTGAAATGACTCTGGCACACTTTTGGACAATATCTGACACAACTTTGGACACTGACATGACTCTGCACACTTGACACTGACAATGACTTGGCACATTGACACTGACAATGACTCTGGCACACTTTGAACACTGACATGACTCTGGACACTTTGACACTGGAACAATGACTCTGCACACTTTGACACTGACAATGACTCTGGCACACTTTGACACTGACAATGACTCTGGCACACTTTGACACTGACAATGACTCTGGCACACTTTGACACTGACAATGACTCTGGCACACTTTGACACTGACAATGACTCTGGCACACTTTGACTCTGACAATGACTCTGGCACACTTTGACAACAAATGACCTCTGCACAACTTTGACAATGACTCTGGCACACTTTGGACAATGATCTGGCACACTTTGACACTGACTGACATGACTCTGCACACTTTGACACTGACAATGACTCTGGCACACTTTGCACTGACAATGACTCTGGCACACTTTGACACTGACAATGAGACTCTTTGACATGGACACTTTGACACTGACAATGACTCTGGACACTGACACTGACAATGACTCTGGCACACTTTGACACTGGACACATGACACTGCTTGACTTTGACACTGACAATGACTCTGGCACACTTTGACACTGACAATGACTCTGGCACACTTTGACACTGACAATGACTCTGGCACACTTTGACACTGACAATGACTCTGACTTTGACACTGACAATGAACTCTACAGCTGACAATGACTCTGGCACACTTTGACACCTGGGCAAATGACTCTGGCACACTTGACACTGACAATGACCTCTGGCAATGACACTGACATGGACTCTGGCACTGACAATGACTTTGCACACCTGACACATGACTCTGGCACACTTTGACACTGACAATGACTCTTGACTTTGACACTGGACACTCTGCACACTGACACGACAATGACTCTGCAACAATCTGGACAATGACTCTGGACAGCTTTTGACACTGACTTGACTCTGGCACACTTTGACACTGAACATGACTCTGGACACTTTGACACTGACAATGACTCTGCACACTTTGACACTGACAATGACTCTGGACACTTTGACACTACAATGACTCTGGCACACTTTGACACTGACAATGACTCTGGCACACTTTGACACTGACATGATCTGACTGGACAATGACTGGACACTTTGACAATAACTCTAACAATGACCCTGACTTTGACACTCTTACTCTAACACTGACACTGACTCTAACAATGACTCTAACTTTGACACTATTTAACACTGACTCTGCCACTGACTCTGACTCTGCCACCGACTCGCCCCCTCACCGTGTATGACCCCGCCCAGACCGGCCAGCACCAAGGCGAGGGCGACCACGGCCACCGCCAGGCGTCTCTCGCAGGGCGTCCGACGGGCCAAGAATCCTCTCAGTCTGCGGGGGAAGAGGAAGCGAAGACACACCGGATTTTATTTTATTTTTTTCTTTGATTTGATGTTTTTTGTGTGTTTTTTTATTTTTTTTTTTTTTTTTTTTTTTTTTTTTATTATTTTTTATTTTTTTAGTTTTTTTTTTTTTTTTTTGGTACTGATAATTATATCAAAATAGTAAAAGGGAAAATAAAAGAGAAAAAAAGAAATAGAAATGACAGAAATTACAAGCATTACATTCTTTTAATAAGAAGAACAGTAGTACGTTAATTAAAATGAAAAAATAGAAAAAAACAAAAAACAATAATCAAGTCTGATTCTATCGTTATCATCACCGTTAATCACAAAAAGATAAAGAAAACGAAAATTATATCTAATAAAATTATGAAAATTTTATCATATTATCATATCCGATAAGATTGTCTTATTATATCTTATAAGATTATGAAAAATTATATCTGAACGAGAAAAGAAAAAAAAAGGAAAATAAACACATTTCTATCCCACAAACAAGGAACAAACAAGAACACGAAGAGAAAAACAAACACAAAAAAAAAAACAACATTTTTCTCACAAAAACTTCCTCACCCTTCTTATCCTCTTCCTCCTCTCCCTCCGCCGCCGATCCCTCACGCCCGTGACCGACCACCCCGTTCTGTGGGCGGCCTGCTTGACCCCGGGCGCTTTCGTGGGCGTGAGGGAGGGGCGGGTCCTGCGTGGGCGGGGGAGGGATGGCGGCGGGACCGAGGTAGCCGCCGTCGCTGTCTCGGAGGGAAGCCACGGGTCTGGAGGGAGGGAAGGGAGGGGGTTGGAGGGAGGTGGGTAGATGGGGAGGGGAGGGTGGTAGGTGGGTAGGTAGGGGTAGATGGGTAGATGGGTAGATGGGGAGGGTGGTGGGTGGTAGGCGGATAGTGATGGGTAGATGGGAGGGTAGGTAGGTGGGTGAGTAGAGGGTTAGATGGTAGATCGTAGGTGGGTGGGTAGATGGTAGATAGATGGGGAGATGGGTGGTTGGTAGGTAGGTAGATAGGTAGGTGGGGTAGGTAGATGGGAAGGTTGGTAGGTAGGTTGTGGGTATGTAGGTTGATAGGTAGGTAGGTGGGCAGATAGGTAGATAGATGGGGAGGTAGGTACGTTAATGGGTAGGTAAGTAGGTAAATGGGTAGGAATGTAGGTTGTGAAGTAGATGGGTAAGTAGGTAGAACAGGCAGATATATAGATAGACTGGTAGATAGACAGAATGATAGATAAATAGATAAAGAGATGAGACTTGCTTATATGAGCATAAGTGTGCAAGTGAGTGAGTGTGTGTATGTGCACATGCGCGCACGTGTGTGTGTGTCTGTGTGTGTATATTTTTGTTTTTTGTATTTGCACATGCGTATGTGCGTCTACATGTCCACTGGATGCTTGTGTTAAATCAATTACATGGTATATTTAAAGCAATGTCTCACACAAGATTACCTAAATGCTCAAAACTATTTCGTACTCACAAAGGGTCAACCTGTATCGTGTTGTAATTGGTCGGCAGCGTTATCGTGTTGTCGTTCCTGGCTGGTGATTGGTCGCTGGTGGCTGTGACGTCACTGTAATTCCTCATAGGGAGTTCAACGGGCGTCATCATGATTGGCTGACGTTCGGCCAATGAACCGTTGGCAGGGTTGAATTTTCGAATTTTCATAGACATAAGTTCTTGTTAAGAAACGGCTTGTTTACTGTTTCGTGTATTATCGTTTTATTTTCTTATTCATTTATCATTATGTTTTTTTTGTCTGAAGTTGGTTAGTTGTACATTTTTTCCTTTTCTTAAGTAGAAAATGTATCAACGAATGCCTATCACGAAT